GCTACTCTAGCACTCATGGCACCTTTTCCAGAATTGACTATTTCTTACTTTCTGCATCCTCGGTATCCATGGTAACTAAATCCTGGTATGATAATATTGTCATATCAGATCACTCCACCGTTTCATTTCAATTATATTTACCCAGCTTACCATTATTTACCACTAGATGGCGACTGCAATCTTTCTGGTTGAAAGATCCAGAATTCTTGGAACACATTGGAAAGCAAATAGATTATTACTTTGCTTATAATACAACTCAAACCACGGCTACTTTAAAATGGGAGGCTTTCCTGAGAGGGCAAATGATTCTTTATACAAGTTTTAGACAAAAAGCATCTAGGATGGAATTTGTCCATCTGGAGAAAAAGATAAAAGACATTGAGGAAGAGATATTTATATCCAAATATAATGCTCTAATTCTAGAGTTAAACTCAGAGCTAAATTCAATATTTTGTCATTAAATAAAGCTACTAACAGTTTAATAAGACTAAAACAGTCATATTATGAACAGGGTGAAAAAGCAAGTAAAATACTGGCTTGGCTGAAAGAACAATAAATTCTATAACAACAGATGAAGAACAGATCACAGCTGATCCTAAACATATTAATGACTCTTTTTGCACTTTTTATAAACAGCTATACAAAACTGAGCATTTAAATTCATTTTAATAAAAAAAGATCAACTGCATTTTCCTAGAACGGTATGGATGAACTAGAGCTTAATATAACAGTAGAAGAAATTACTAATGCTATAAAGAACATGAAAGGGGGTAAAACTGGACCTGATGATACCAATACTGATACCAATAAAAATATACAAAATATTTAAAGACAGTTTGATCCAGCCCTTATTGGATATGTATCAGGAATCATTTGAATCTGGGTCTCTCCCCCCTCCATGTAATATTGCAACAATTACACTTTTATTGAAACCTTTTATTGAAAGCCAGCAATTAATTGTAGTTCTTATAGACCAATTTCACTGTTGATTAAAAGATACTTTGCAAATTATTAGTTACGAGATTAGGGACACTCTTGCCTAATATGATTCACTCAGACCAGAATGGCTTTATCCAGGGGAGGCAGAGGTTTCACAATGTGCGGAGGGTCATGAAGATCATTTATGAGAAAAAATAGACCAGAGACAATGCGTTAATCTCAATGGATGATGAAAAAGCCTTTGACAGGATTGAATGGCCGTTTTTATTTGAAGTTTTAAAAAAGTTTGGTATTGGAAACAGATTTTTTAAATGGATTCAATTGATATACTCCAATCCTCAAGAAGAGATTTTAACTAACCGTCTTTTTTTCACACCATTCAGACTCTATCGTGGTACTACACAAGGTGCCCTTTGTCACCTCTTTTGTTCACCTTGGCAATTGTGTCTCTTGCAATGGCAATTTGGAATCATAAAAACATATCAGGAATTAAAGTAGGCAATGTTGACCACCGTATTGCCCTATATGCAGATGATATGATCCTGTTCTGCACCAATTTAAACAAATCAATACCATCCATATTAAGTCTTATTAATACATTTAGTACATTTTCTGGTTACAAAATAAAAAGTCTGAAATATTATTTTTGAATAAAAATGAACGACAAAATCCTCCAGTTTCTGCAAAATCCTCCCTTTCTGTAATCTGAACATGGGTTTACTTATCTAGGTGTAAAATTAATTCCCTCAATTGAAAATATTCTTGCATCCAATTATAATTCCTTAACGACGTCAGTTATTACACTTCTAAATTGATGGACGAAATTACCTATATCTTTAATTGATCGTATTAATATACTAAAAATGTAAATTTTGCCCAAATATCTTTACCTTTTTCCATCAATATCTCTCTCTCGACCAAAATCTTTCTTTTCAGATTTGCAAAAACGATTCTGAAACTTTATCTGAAATAGCAAAAGACCAAGGCTCAGAATCTCCTTACTATACCTTCCTTATGAAAGAGG